AGTCATGACTCAGAAAATATTATTTCATTTTTTTCTTCAGTTATAAGTTGCATATGTTACACGCTCTTTGAGAGGCGTGTACTATAGTCTTTCCCTTTACTTATACTAGCTTATCACCCGTACTATGTACGGGATAATTATAGATATTTGTATTTATTTTAGATTTTTTTTAATATATAAATTATGTTTTTAAAGATTTTTTATAAAAATAATTTAATAATCTTATCACTAACCACAGTGTATGAGAGAAGTTGAAAAGAATACTGCAGTAACTATACACATATTGTATCTATAATTATTTGTATGAGGGGATTTTAAATGCTGATCAGGGAATGTTAACCAAATCAATAAATGCAGGCATGTGGAAATACATGTGGATTGAAAAAAGTTAATAAATGCTGATCAGAGGATTTTGACCAAATCAATAAATGCTGAGTTTTATTTTTTAATAAAAAATTTAGAAAATTTATATTGGGATATTGAAAGTTCCACAAGCCTTGGGGTTAAAAACCCCTTTTTGCTTAATATATAGCATAGATATAGATAGATGTGTTGGACTTTTCGAGAAATTTTTTTTATGCTTGTTCTTAATGCATTGAAGTGTTATTATGAGGGATAATAATCATGTATTAGAACTTTTTAAGGAATTCATATGTGTTGAATTTCAAAGAATTTTTTTTATACTTGTTCTTAATGCATTAAAGTGCTATTATGAGGGTAAAATTTGAGAGTTGGAAGAAATTAATAAATGTTAAGATTTTTTTTTTAAATCAAAAAATCAGGAAATTTAGATTGAGAGATTGGAGCTCCTACAAGGCTTGGGGTTAAAAATCACCTGTGCTATGCACAGATTGTGTTTACAATTATCTATGAATCCAGCTTGTCTCAAGTTAAGATCAAGACTGGACCCGTCCAGTTCGGCCCATGGGGCTCATTTTTTTGGCCGATTTTGATAATCTGAACAGTTCAATGTGTAGAATTCATCGAGTACTACATGCTTGTAAAAAATCACATTGATCGGATATCAGTAGCTATGTGATCAAATCAGTTTTGTATAAAAAAAAATGGACGATAAAATAATTAACGGTTGATAAAAAACTGTTTTGTTCACATAGCTATCCATATTCGATCAACGTGATTTTTTACAGGCATATAGTACTCGACGAGTTCTATACATTCAACGGTTCGGATTATCAAAACGGAACCCGTGGTGGGCTCTCACGGGCCCAACAGCACGGTCCAGTCCGATCTTAGACTGGACTAAAGCCACTGCCATTATCTATATATGTGAATTGTCATTTTTAAATATATATATTCCTTTTTTATAATGAGAGAAGTTGAAAAGGATATTGCAGTAACTATACACAGATTGTATCTATAATTATTTGTATGAGGGGATTTTAAATGCTGATCAGGGGACTTTGACCAAATCAATAAATACAGGCATGTGGAAATACATGTGGATTGAAAAAAGTTAATAAATACTGATCAGGGGATTTTGACCAAATCAATAAATGCTGAGTTTTTTTTTTTTAATAAAAAATTTAAAAAATTAATATTGGGATATTGAAAGTCCTACAGGCCTTGGGGTTAAAAACTCCCTTTTGCTTAATATATAGTATAGATATAGATAGATGTGTTGGACTTTTCAAGAAATTTTTTTTATGCTTGTTCTTAATGCATTGAAGTGTTATTATGAGGGATAATAATCATATGTGTTGGGACTTTTCAAGGAATTCATATGTGTTGGATTTCAAAGAATTTTTTTTATGCTTGTTCTTAATGCATTAAAGTGCTATTATGAGGGTAAAATTTGGGAGCTGGGAGAAATTAATAAATGCTAAGATTTTTTTTTTAAATCAAAAAATCAGAAAATTTAGATTGGGAGATTGGAGCTCCCACAAGGCTTAGGGTTAAAAATCACCCGTGCTATGCACGGATTGTGTTTACAATTATCTATATATGTGAATTGTCATTTTTAAATATATATATTTTTAAATGTCTCCTCTTTTTTCATTTTTTATATTATATTAAAGTTTAATATTTTGATAATAATCATATGTGTTGGACTTTTCAAGGAATTAAATGTCTTTTTTTTTTTATATATTATATTAAAGTTTAATATTTTGATAAAAATCATACGTGTTGGACTTTTCAAGAATTTTTTTTTCTGCTTGTCCTTAATGCATTAAAATGTTATTATGAGGGATAATAATCATATGTGTTAGGACTTTTTAAGGGATTTATATGGGTTGGATTTCAAATAATTTTTTTTATGCTTGTTCTTAATGCATTAAAGTGTTATTATGATAGTAAGACTTGGGAGTTGCGAGAAGTTAATAAATGGTAAGATTTTTTTGTTAAATGAAAAAATTAGGAAATTTAGATTGGGAGATTGGAGCTCCCACAAGACTTGGGGTTAAAAATCCCCTTTTGCTTAATATATAGTATATATATATATATATATATATATTAAATGTCTTCTTTTTTCCTTTTTTTTATATTATATTAAAGTTTAATATTTTGATAATAATCATATGTGTTAGACTTTTCAAGGAATTAAATGTCTTTTTTTTCATTATAATATATTAAAGTTTAATATTTTGATAATAATCATATGTGTTGGACTTTTCAAGAAATTTTTATACTAGCCTATCACCCGTGCTATGCACGGGATAATTATAGATATTTATATTTGTTTTAGATTTTTTTTAATATATAAATTATGTTTTTTAAGATTTTTTATAAAAATAGTTTAACAATCTTATCACTAATCATAGTGTCTAAGAGAAGTTAAAAAAAATATTTCAATAACTATGTAAGGATTGTATCTATAATTATTTGTATGAGTGGATTTTAAATGCTAATTAAGAGATTTTGATCAAATTAATAAATGCAGGTATGTGGAAAGACATGTGGGTTGAAAAAAATTAATAAATGTTGATCAAGAGATTTTGACCAAATCAATAAATGCTAAGTTTTTTTTTTAAATAAAAAAATCAAGAAATTTAGATTGGAATATTGGAGCTCCCACAAGGCTTGGGATTAGAAGTTCCCTTTTCCTTAATATAGAGATATAGAGTAAAGTTTAATATTTTAATAATAATCATATGTGTTGGACTTTTCAAGAATTTTTTTTGTGTTTGTTCTAAATACATTAAAGTGTTATTATGAGGAATAATAATCATATGTGTTGAGACTTTTCAAGGAATTCATATGTGTTGGATTTCAAAATTTGTTTTTATACTTGTTCTTAATGTATTAAAGTGTTATTATAAGGGTAAGACTTGAGAGTTGTGAGAAGTTAATAAATGCTAAGATTTTTTTTTTTAAAATCAAAAAATCAGGAAATTTAGATTGGGAGATTGGAATTCCCACAAGGCTTGGGATTAAAAACTCCCTTTTACTTAATATATAGTATAGATATAGATATAGATAGATGTGTTGGACTTTTCAAGAAATTTTTTTTATGCTTGTTCTTAATGCATTGAAGTGTTATTATGAGGGATAATAATCATATGTGTTGGGACTTTTCAAAGGAATTCATATGTGTTGGATTTCAAAGAATTTTTTTTATGCTTGTTCTTGATGTATTAAAGTGCTATTATGAGGGTAAAATTTGGGAGTTGGGAGAAATTAATAAATGCTAAGATTTTTTTTTTTAAATCAAAAAATCAGAAAATTTAGATTGGGAGATTGGAGCTCCCACACGGCTTGGGGTTAAAAATCACCCGTGCTATGCACAGATTGTGTTCACAATTATCTATATATGTGAATTGTCATTTTTAAATATATATTTTTTAAATGTCTCATTTTTTTCCTTTTTTATATTATATTAAAGTTTAATATTTTGATAATAATCATATGTGTTGGACTTTTCAAGGAATTAAATGTCTTTTTTTTAATATATTATATTAAAGTTTAATATTTTGATAAAAATCATATGTGTTGGACTTTTCAAGAATTTTTTTTTCTGCTTGTTCTTAATGCATTAAAATGTTATTATGAGGAATAATAATCATATCTGTTGGGACTTTTTAAGAAATTTATATGGGTTGGATTTTAAAGAATTTTTTTTATGCTTGTTCTTAATGCATTAAAGTGTTATTATGATGGTAAGACTTGGGAGTTGCGAGAAGTTAATAAATGGCAAGATTTTTTTTTTAAAATAAAAAAATTAGGAAATTTAGATTGCGAGATTGAAACTCCCATAAGGTTTGGGGTTAAAAATATCTTTTTGCTTAATATATAGTATAGATAGATTACATTGCATAGCTTCTGTTTGGCAAAATAGTTGGGATTAATTTAGCTTACCAAAAGATAAAATAGAATAAAATGTCAATAAGATAAGATAAAATATTAGATCTAAACTATAATCACTTTATTTTTTATTTCACAAAACTAAAAAAAAATTCAGAAAATTATCTCAAACGGATTTTTTTTTAACCAAGTTAAAATAGTCAAAAAGATAAAAAGTTAGGTTAAAAAAAGACTTAGGGTTATTTTAACCCATTTTAAGTCACATCATTTCTAACATTTTTTACATGTTTTTTAAAAAAAGAAAAAAAAAAAATTAAAAAATCAACTTTTATCCATCCTCCCAAAACAATCCTTAGACAGTCTCCAATTGGCTAGCCTAATTGGACGATCTAGTCCGACTCATTATGGGCTCATTTTAAATTTTTCTCAACAATTCAAATCGTTAAATGTGTGGGACTGATCGCGTATTTTGTTCTTATAAAAAATTATATTAATTAAATATCAATAATTATTTAATTAGATCATATGTACAAATTTAATTTGATTAGATGATTATTAATATTCAAGTAATTTAATTTTTTTTATAAAAATAAAATAATCAACGAGATCGTGAACGATTCGGATAGAGGTCAACAACACTATCCAATCCGGTTTAAAATAAAATAATCAACGAGATCTTGAACGATTCGGATAGAGTCCAACAACACTATCGAATCCGGTTTCGAATGGGAGAGAAGCCGCTGCCTATATAAAAGTTTTTAACAAACGAAGCCTAGATAGTGGAATAGTTGAATAGTTGAAATTCATTAGAACAGTACTGTGTGTGTTCAGTGGCTAATGAATCTCCATCTTCATCAAATTCATTCTACTTCCCTCCCAGCGAATCTCTCAAACAAACAAATGAAGCCTTCATCGATTCTGCTAATATGCACCGTGATCTTAACCCTCACGGCACTCGCCTCCGCTTCCTCCGACGCCGCTTACCCCTCCCCTTACGGCGGCGGCACTTGCAAATCCGACGACAACAATCTCCTCATACCTGTGAGAAGAGAAGTGTACGATGATTTCCGAATCTTCGATATCAGTCACAGGTACACCCCCGACATGCCCTCTTGGGGCTCCGACGAAGGTCTAGGCCAGTTCCTCTGGCTTCCGGCCAGTATGAAGAATGGCTCTCTCGCTAACAACTCCGAGATGAAGCTCCCCACTCATACCGGCACTCACGTCGACGCTCCTGGTCATGTCTTCGATCACTACTTCGATGCCGGCTTCGATGTCGACACTCTCGACCTTGCAGTTCTCAATGGTAATCCCATCCCATCAATTTGACTAAAATTTGTTTTAACCATTTGTACAAAGAAATCTATGTTCAATCCTTACGTTTTTTAGGACAAAGAAATCAATCTTTTTTAGTACAAAGAAATCTATCTTCAATCCTTACTTTTTGTTTTTTGAAAAATGTTTGAGGCCACAATTTTTGTGGTTCAAATGGTTCAAAATTGTCAAAATTACGTCGTTTTGACAATTTTAAAGTTGTTTTGTAACGTCGTTTTGACAATTTCGAGCCATTTGAACCACAAGAATTGTGGCCCTCAACATTGCTGTTTTTTTTAGTACATAGAAATCCATCTTCAATCCTTCCTTTTTTAAATTTCATCCTTGATCGGTGGAAAAAATTAATTTGATAATTTTTAGAAATTTTTTCATCAAATTTGAATTTAATAAAAAAATGAAAATAAAAAATTGATAAAATATTGGAGGTGTTGTGATATATATTGATTGCGATTGTTTTGTTTTTTTTAATGTGTAGTGCGAAATTGGCACACCAATAATAGGTTTATTCTTGGCCATTGTTATTGTGAAGCGTGTAGAAATTGAGCTCATTTTTTAAACTTGTAGCATATTTATGTGGGTATCTGTTCGTCTTCAATTGGGTTGCTTTTTTTGACATTTTGCCATTAGTTACTGTCAGAGCATCTGTGACAGCATTTGTGACGATGTGGGCCACATTTTAAAAATATCTTCTTAGATAAGAGTCATTATTGTTATTTTTCTCCGTGTCCTCCTTCTCCCTATATATATATGTACATGTGTACCTATTAGTGGCAATATTGTTGATCTCAAAATTTGGGCGTCGGAAGGTAGAAAGATGAGGTCTCTGTTGGTATTGCCGCTGTGTGTTACAGTGCTAGCAATTTTCTCTTCGGCACTGTCATCATCACCGAGTGATGCTTACCCATCTGGTTATGGTGATGATTTGGGTTCTTGTAGAAAGAGACATACTGGTGAGGAGGGGTTGGTTCCTTTGAGAAGGGAAGTTTATGGCAACGGAAGAATTTTTGATATTACACATAGGTTCACCCCTGAAACTCCTGTTGGGGGCACTGAGGGTGTTGGGCAAATCCTCTCACTTTCTATGAGCATGAAAAATGGCTCGGATTATAACTTCTCTATCATGAAGTTACCTGTTCATTCTGGTACTCATGTTGATGCACCGGGACATGTGTTTGAGCATTACTTTGATGCCGGGTTTGATGTAGATACTCTCGACCTCGATGTCCTCAACGGTATTAATTTTGGCAATAGTGTTTATATTTTTAAGCGTTATGTTTTCATCTTGATTAGTTGAGTATTTGAATTTATAAGGCATTATGTTTGATGAAATTATGGTAAATGATTCTTTGGTAAAGTTTTTTTTAGGTAGGCCTTATATATTTTGGAAATCAAATTAATTTGGGCTGATTTTTAGTGATTGGATAACTAATAGGAATTTAATACATCTACTCTTACTAAAAGTTAATAATTTTTAGATTGAAAAATGATATACAAGCCTACTTTTTAGCCCCTTTGATGTGTAAGTGAGATGATTGGTCTATAATTAGAGAATACATACATAGGCCTTATATATTTTGGAAATCAAATTAATTTGGGCTGATTTTTAGTGATTGGATAACTAATAGGAATTTAATACATCTACTCTTGCTAGAAGTTAATAATTTTTAGATTGAAAAATGATATACAAGCCTACTTTTTAGCCCCAATGATGTGCAAGTGAGATGATTGGTGTATAATTAAAGAATACATACATAGGCCTTATATATTTTGGAAATCAAATTAATTTGTGCTGATTTTTAGTGATAGGATAACTAATAGGAATTTAATACATCTACTCCTACTAGAAGTTAATATTTTTTAGATTGGAAAATGATAGACAAGTCTACTTTTTAGCTCTAATGATGTGTAAGTGAGATGATTGGTTGATATTTAAAGAATATATGAGAGAGAAATAGCGCATGAGAGTGATTGGTTGGTTGACCATTGGGCTTGAAAAGTTGGTGTAATTTTTGGGTTTGAATAGCATTAATAGTCAGATTTTAGAGTTCTGAAACACTTCATATTCTCAGCAAGTCCTGAAATTGAAAGGTTGGCCCATGTATAAGACTTCTTCATGGTTGGAACTTTGGGGTGTGGCAATCAAGGTTATTAATATCGTACCGTACCGCCCACTACAGTCTGGGTTGTCCCAATTTGACTTAAAAATGTGTAGAACTACTTGAGTTCCGTCCCATCAAAGTTTCAGACTATTCCAGTGGTAATTGGAATTTTCGGACTATACTGCCACTATATTTGTTAATAGCATTCTGGACTGCACGTTGTTGCAAGGTGTTTTTTAACTTTCCAAGGCTAAGGTCTTGTAGCAAACTGCTACAAACAGAGTTGATGATGAATGCTGATGTAAAGTGATCTTGACACATTACATCACATTATTGCACCTTATAATTTTGATAAATATTTTTTTTAATCTAAGCTTTGTCTATATTTATTCATTATATTTATATTAATATAAAGTATTCAAATGTTTTTTAAACAACTTTAAATTTTCAAAACAAAATATATATATAGACACGTATAACTTAACTTAAACATACTTGTAGAACATTTTCATAAATATTTTGTTAATACATTAATGATTTTTTTATTTTATTTATCAAATGTATGAAAATTTTAATAATAAATATAATTAAAGCCGCAACAGTAAGCAAAAACATACTGGCTCCGGAAGATACCATACCAATGATAAAAACGGTATACTGACTGGTACAGGATTGACAACTTTGGTGGCAATCAGCCATGAAGGTGCAATTTGATGGGAAAAAGAACTACAGGTTTAGAAATTTAGAATGCTGTTCTTGTTTGAGTTAACTTTTTCTTCTTGAGAAAAATTTATGATAGATTGCTTTGCATTTTTTTGAAGGTGCTTTGTTTGGGTGAGTAAAGTGGAAACATGTTTCTTTTTATTATTATTAAGCCAATGCTATTCTTTGCTAATTAGGATGATTTTACTTTTTTTGATACAATGCTTGAAGAAAGATCTCCCGAGCATCTCGTTTCTAAGGGCTTGCTGTTTCTAAAGAGGCAGATATTTTTAAACTTTGAGAGGAATCGGTTGATTTTGTACTTATGTGTTGCTTCTTTGGTTGGTAGCTTTGGGTAATGTTGTTAGCTTTGTTTTGTGTCCTAGCTTTTCACATCTTCCCCGGCTGAACACTTTGTGGTTGGTGGGTTTATGTTGCAGACAATTGAGCTTTATGGGTTTAATGAACAACTTTTGTTTATATTACTAGGTGCATTTGGGAAGTGAAAACAATCAGAGACGCTTCAAAAGCTGTAAAGATCTTTAATTGGAACTAAAGAATATCATTACAAGACATTTGTTTTAATATTTCTATGGATTTTGTCATTTTTTGGATTTCTTAAGACACCCCATAGGGGGTGCCACTTAACCTACCAGATGGTGACATGTCCTTTGATGTTTTGGTGTCCTTGACTTTATTTTTTTATATCATTTATTTTTTTGTTTGTTTGTTTCCTTTGGATATGTGTACATGGAATTTTCCCTCTTTTTTCTCATGATGCAATTTAATTTTTTTATGAAAAGAAGTTATGACTACATGAATTCATATTTAATTGTATGTTTATTTGATAATTAAATTTGTTTTGTTTTGTTTTAACAGGTCCGGCTTTGTTAGTTGATGTTCCAAGGGACAAGAACATAACTGGTATCCATCTCCATTACATATACATTTAATCATAAACATTTTTTCTTTTTCACTTCCCTGTTGCCTGATCTATATATGGAATGGCACATATGTTGTGGTTATTTTAAGCAGCAGTTTTGCGCTCCTAGGATATATATAGATGAGTGACATTGGACAACAAGGATACAAAAAGGTTGCAACATGTCAAGTACTGGTTATGAGTTTCTTCTATCATTTGTATACACTTTTAGTTTCATTGCCAATACTTTGATGCACTCTTAAGTTTCTAGAGATTGATAGGATAGATCTGTGACAGAACCTGTACTATCTAGGTTGATATGAAATAATCTACTATTCTTTATTTTTACAAGTCCTTATGGATGTTTCAACAGCCATTAAAAATACGATAACTATGTGTTGGAGTTGCTATGAGCATTTAATGTTTCCTATCCCATTATAAAACTAGGTGAATTAAATCATGGCTTTATATCTGTATTACAGCTGACGTTATGAAGTCCTTAAATATTCCCAAGGGTGTACGGCGCGTGCTTTTCAGAACATTAAACACTGACCGGTAAATTCCTGACAATTATAATTTTACAGAATGATCATATTGTGGAACATTTTTGGTTATGGTTTTTTATTTTTACGTGGTGTCTGATTTTTGCGGTATGGTATTTACTGTTTATCTTGATTGTTTGTTTTGAATGAAATTGTTGCATTTGGCATTTGATATTACTAGAAATTCCTGACCGTTATAATTTTACACAATGATCTTGGTTATGATTTTTAGGTTTTAAGTGGTGTCTGATTTCTGTGGTATTTACTATATATCATGAGTGTTTGTTTTAATGCAATTGTTACATTTGGCATTTGATATTACTAGAGATTGATTATATCGGGGTTAATTGAGCACACACTTTTACTGTTCCTTATATGAATTCAATATAGAGTATTTGCTCAGTGGTGTGTACAACAGTATCACTTGAAGTTCCAGATTTGGTTGAAAGTCTCTACTGACTTAATGCCTTTGCAAAAGAAAATAGCCATGATGGCATAACTGTGACCAATGTAATAACTGTGATGGCATGTCCTGGTTCATTTTCTTAAACATCAGTTTCTGCTGAGCATGTGTGGCTACAGACATGTTGCACCTTTTAAGAGTTGTTTTATGTTGGTCTGCCTCTGAGCCATCTTTAATTTCGCCTTGTTGATGGATATGGACATAATACACCTGGAGAAACTTTAGAAGCTATATAAAATTAGAGGTGATAAGAGCAAATAGCTTTCATAGGTTCTTCAAATTTGAGAATCTGAAAGGCTAGATGGTTGATAAGGTATGTCATAGCAGGTAGATGATGTTTTGCTTCCTAGAGGTTAACCCTTGTTAAATAACAAGATATAAATCAGTATTAACAATTAAACCATGCATTACTAGTTGCAAAATAAAGAACAGCATGCACAACATGTCTGATGTTAAACAGCAGTTGTTGCTTCTGCTGTACTTTGTCCTCTATGGAATGATTGTAATATCATATTTGTACTATTTCAAATTCAATGGCTGGTCACTCTTTGGCTTACATATTCACTTCAAATCATGGAAAGAAGATTTTGCTACATTCATCAGCTAAAATTTGTTTCAATTTTAGGCGGCTTATGTGGAAGAAGGAGTTCGACACAAGCTACGTGGGATTCATGAAAGATGGGGCACAATGGTTGGTGGATAACACTGACATTAAACTTGTTGGTAAGGACACCCACCATGCATGGATTTTTTGTCATATTACTTGTTAAGCATCTTAAGTGATGAGTGTTCAAATATTTTTTCCATTATGTTGCACCAGGAATAAGTTGGATTTTTTCCGGCCTATGCATAATTATTGACATAGTTATCAATTTTGTTTGATATATATCATATAACATCAAACACTTGCCCAAAAAAAAAAGCAAATAAAAAATAAAAGAACTGAGGAAATTCAAGCTGACAATTTCCTCATTGGCATGCTATCTCTTTGGCAAGATGATGCCCTTTCTATGCCTTAAATTTGATGTACATCACTCCCAAATCCCAACTAGTGTGACTATTGGTTTGCTGGCATAGTTTTAAAATCTCAATGAAATTGTCACCCATTTTTTTCTGCAATTGTTGCAACATCGTTTTTATAATGAAGTTTGCTGAGTCTAAGGCTAAGGCACCACCACATATGTTAGTCGACGAGGCTAACATGGCTTGACCCTAGAGGGGAGCGGTAAGGACACATGTCAGTGTGTAAGTGGTCCATGTGTCACCTCACAAGATTGACACTTGAAGGAGATGATGTGACAAGAATGTGGGTTGCCATGTAACAAGGTGGACTCATGTTTCTACTATTTTTATTGAATTGATCACACTAATGTTGAAAAAATAATCCATTGTCACTCTAGCATCCTACTAAACCTCTTCTCATGAAAGAGCATGAGGTGATAGTGTATATATAAATGTGGGCAAATTTCACTTTACCCCCTTGTTATTTGGCATGTGCGGATTACCCCCTGTCATTTGGAAATAACCACATAGCCCCCTTGTGCTTTGTGGACTGAAGTGCCTAGTTAGACCCCGTTAACGATTTAATGAAAAAGACTAAAATATGCCTATATATAAGTAACCTAAGTGTGTGAACCACAAATATTTTCGTCATTTGTTTGGGAGGCAAAATGCGTTTTAACCCCTTATGTGATTTACCTCATTGAAATTTGAAAATGAGTATAACCCCCCCTCATGTTTGAAACATGTTTAAGACTTACTTTTAAGTTATACGGATTGTTTAATGGCGCACTTTAGTTCACAAATCACAAGGGTGTTATGTGGTTATTTCCAAATGAGAGGGGTAATCTGCATATGGGCAAAACACACAAGTGGGTAAAGTGAAATTTGCCCTAAAAATGTTTATATTTCTTTAGTGCCTGAGATGCAGTGCTCTACTCTAAATGTAGACTCTAGCAGTCTAGTGTCTTGAAAAATATATGCTTTGTTAGATATTGCCCTTTATTTTGGCATTCGACAGATAGAAGCGAGTATGACAAGTCCTAATTGTGGATTGATTCATAGGTTGAACATGTGTCATATTGGTGGAAAACCATAACAAGAGAAGTTTGAGAAATTACAATCTAAAGGCCATTTTTTTGTTACTCATGATCATTGTGTTGTGCTTTTCTCCTTTGCCCAGCACTGCTAATGATTTTCAATTAGTTTAGTGTACTACATTTTTGGTTTATAGATAGATTCTTAGCAGTTGAGTTGCCTGGTAACTTATTGAATGAAATATTTCCAATCCACAAAAATCTAAATTCTTAATTCATTCAGAAATGTAACTCTCATCAATAATATCGTCATAGAATATTATAACATTGAGCCCAACTAGGGCCTGCTTGGACTTTCCTTCAATTTGAATGGGAATTCACAATTAGGGATGTGCGTGGTGCGGTTTAAGGGTAAAAGAGAAACTGTGTGGCGGGTGGCGGATTGACAAATTTGTCATTAGAAACCACCATTTTTCATCAAAAACCAGCGGATCGGTTGGTAAATAATGGCGGTTTCGACTTGGCGGTTCGGAAAACTTAATTCGCATTACAAAACTTGAATCAAAGATTAAAAAAACCTAATTTATAAATAGTCAAAATTAAAATAGATGTACATTCATCTAACGTTCAACATTGACAAACTAGGAAACTAAAAATTCAACAATCCTAACAATTAATTTAAGGTCTCAAAAATCTAGTTGAGCCACTACATGTCCAACAGGGGTGAAATCTCAATGAATGTTACATGAGTAGCAATAATTTTTCTACTTACCAAATTGAGATTCTCTCTATTACATTATCCAATTGTTATGAAAAAACCAAGTTAATGTTATAATGACTTTTACTTAATTTAAAATAATGATAAGTTCATATGATTATATTAGAACTATCAGCTAATATAAAAATAATAGAAAAAATCTGAATCCTAAAATACCTAATAAATTAGGAAATTTTTAGTAGTTTCCATTGACAAAAATTAAATATTACTGTTGTTTACTCTCCACAATTGAAGAAAAAAAGAGAGTATCCTAAACATTATTATTTTTTTTCTCTTTAAAATACAAGCAACTGGTGTCATTGCACTTCAGGATCAAAAAATAATATTCAAAAAAATAACCATAACTTGGAGAGCAAAAAGAGAGTAAATAAGAGAGCGAAAAGAGCGCAAAGAAAGAGAGCAGACTCAGAGAGAGACAAATCTGGGGATCTTTAACCATTTGGAGAACAAAAAGAGAGTAAATAAGAGAGCAAAAAGAGAGACAGAAAGCACTGAGCAGAGAGAGAGAGAGAGAGAGAGAGAGAGAGAGCAAAGAGAAAGAGAGAGACTATCAAAATGTGAGTGGTGAGCGCGAGCGAAGGTGAGAGGAGGCGACCAGCAGTGACCGGCAAGGCTAGCAATGGCGGCGATGAGCAAGGTGAGGAGGAGTGAGAGAGGAGGCGAAGAATTCTTTAGCAATCTGATGAATGAGATGAGATTTGGGGTGTGAATGAGATTTAGTTGAGAATTGATTGATTGTGTGTTGTGTGTGTGTGTGTGTGAGTGAGTGAGTGTATGTACATTTGGTTTGATAGCTTTAATCCAATAGTTGGATATCAAATTTATTTATTTATTTATTTATTTATTTATTTTTTTTAAGCCAATGGCAGGTTGGGTTGGTTAGAGAGGCGGGTTGGCTATTTGAAAGTGCCAACTGCGCCCACCCCTGGCACACCAAGAACCAACCGCGCAACACCACCCTACTAGATCTCCAAAAATGTGCGGTTTGGCACAGTTCGGACTGTTTTGGCAGTATTTTGCATAGCCCTATTCATAATTTACATATCATTTTAATGTTGATGTTCATTACCATTAGAGCCATTTAGAAAAGTTTGGAACTTCACCATATTTCTTTTTACATGGTCATTTAGGTTTCCTTGGAATGAAAAACACTTTGCGAGACGGAATTACACTAAATTTTTTATATCAAGCGAAATTCGAATGCCTGCTAAATGTCCCTTTGCATTTAAATGAGCCCATTCACTTTCCATGTAGCATGCCAATGTAGAAACTGAATATTGAATGGAGCCATTTGCAAAAAATCACATTCATCTCAGAAAATGACGTTTAAAAACTAACATTCGCAATGACCCATCTGTCTGTTCTTGATTGCAGGAATTGATTACTTATCTGTTGCTGCCTATGATGATCTGATTCCTTCTCATCTTGTTTTTCTAGAAGGCAGGGTAAGATAATATATCTCCAATGTGTTGGAATTTTTGTGTTTCACTTTCAGCAACCCTATTGCTCATCCTGCCTTGAAATATTTCTTCTAGTTGCTTCTGTCAATATTATATCCACTAGGGAGAATTTTACTTTTCCTAAACCTGGCAGTCACCTTCCTTTATAATGAAGTTTATTTCTTGACTTAAATTGTGCAGTCCGGATTTCATCACTTGTAGATTAGAGAAGTTCTAGCAAGATATCTTGTATTGATGATATTTTTGGGCATTATTCTTTGGCTGTGATTTAAGGATAATGGTTGTGTGCTAGTTTCTGATTCAAGTTTAAAAGGGTGTTTCTTACTGACACGAGATCAGTTCATTGGTTTGCTTATGTGATGATTATGTTGGCATTATGAATTGTGAGAGTTGCAATGCTTATTAATTTGTATAAACTGAGTGTAGAATCTTTAGTTGAAGAAAATGGTCCATTTTTCTTCCAGTTACTAGTAGAAAAAAGTGTCTATTCTAGGTTGATGTTTTCTGTCGATAAAATGGCATCACGTGGAGATGATTTTATTATCATTATTTGGGTTCTCCTTTTCTGTTTTTTGAATTGTTCAGTATCATGAAATGTTCATTGTAAAAATAAAGATTTACAATCGTTTGAATACTTGATCTCCTATAACTAATGTGGCTAGGCATAAACAATTTAGTGTGTTTGTCCTACTTTGTGTTTTCATGTCAAGGGTAGATTTAGAAACTTGTAAAATTAGCAACATTTACAATCTTATTTTAGTGATGGGCCTTAATACTTCTCAACAAAATAATCTGAAATGAATATATGAAAGATTAGGGATTCAAATTTTGGGAAAGAGATCAAGAGACATGGCAAATATATGGAAATACAATGACTTGGAGAATTAGTGAACCGTAATTTTTTTCCCTAACTCTGTATCCAGCCCACTGATTAATTTGGGTATCATTTTCATCGTCCACTAGCAGGGGATGTGTTTGAACCGTTGTGGAGAGTGATGTGGTTGGTGAGATAGAAAATATCAAATAATTCTTGGGAAGAATCTATGCTATTATGTTTACATTATTTTGTTGCAAGATTTTTTTTGGAGTAAATTCTGATCTTAAATGAATGCAAATTTTATAATTGGGGTCATTTGTGTCAAATGATTGAATGCTTATACAGATGTAGTTGTTATGTATTTTGTTTTGGAATAATTTCACTTTGAATTTTTAAATTATGGGTTTTTTTTTGGTTATTATATTAATAATTTTATATCTATTTAAGTTTTTAATTTCAACCAATATGGGCCAATTCGAGATTCATGTTGTCCAAATGTATAATCCTTAAAAGTCCAACTTGATGTTTTCTGTCTCACATAATAAAATGTCATCACATGGAGATGATTTTATTATCATTATTTGGGTTCTCCTTTTCTTTTTTTGCTTTTGTTTCTTGTTGGGAGTAGATGATCGAGTGCTGATATATCTTATCAGCTCTACTGTATGATAAGCAATTTTTTGGTTAATGTTGTTTGGATATAAGAAAATTTGTAATTTTCATTTCAATGGAGAAGAGTAGCAACAGTTTTGACACATTTCAAATGCTTTAGGAAATCATTCTGGTGGAAGGCCTGAAACTCGAAGATATTCAACTAGGAATATATAATGTCCATTGCTTACCTCTAAGGTTGCTTGGTGCTGAGGGCTCGCCTATCAGATGCATCCTTATCAAATGACATCGTCCTTGTAAGTGTTTATATTTTTTAAGCCATTGTGATGCTTGAAGTTCTTAATTATTTGAAATTGTTTAGCATGATGTTTTATATTAATGGTCCGTTTGTTTTGGCATAAAATATTTTTTGAAAACAGTTTTTTTTCCTCATTTTCTAGTGGGTAATTGGTACATCAATGAAAAACAAGCTTATTTGGGGTGGAAAATGGGTGGAAAATGTTTTTCACTTTTAGAAGGTGGAAAACATTTTTTGAATTAAAATTTTGTCAATGCTATCACGCTACCACACCGGCACCACCACTTCCCACACCCTGCCACCACATTATCACCACCTCCTCCCCCTACCCCACTACCATGACCATCATCTCCCCCAACAAGAACCACCACTACCGGCATTGCCACCCACCTCAGCACCACTAACGCCACTGCCGTTGTCTCCACCATCCCAACCTTACCACCACCAACACCACTACCGCCATCTCTGCAGCTGCCCCCACCACCATACCAACACCACGACTAATACAACTATTAGCACATTAGTTTCAAAGTTACAACCGGATATAGGAAAACATTTTCTACAAAAAATATTTTCAGAAGAAACATTTTACATGATATTTTCCACCAAAACAAATGCAGCCTAAATGCCAAAATCAAACTGCACACCCACATTTATTATGTATTGAATGTTGAACTGGAACTTTGCATTAGAATTATAGTTTAGTGCGTAATAGTTTTGGGGTCCCGTGGCCTCTAATATTTTCATACATAATTGGGCAAATGTAATGAGAGATGAACATAATAAACAAATGACACTTCTCGCCCTCCTCAACTAATGTTGTGTTTGGTTGAGGGATTTGGGAAGGGATTTAGAAAAGGAAAGGAAAAAAAAATATGAAACTATTACCTTTTTCTTTTTTCAAATCTCTTTTTAAATTTCTCAACCAGACACAACATAAGGGAAATGATCTGCATGGTTATTCGCTTCTCTATGGGAGTGTGGAATTTTGGTGCACCATTTGCTTCCATATTTCTGTCATATCTATTGCTTCTATGGTTTTGTGGAGAAATTGTTTCGTTATCACCTTTTTAATGCTCAAAGCATACTCGTGAACTTTCCGCAGGAAACATCAAAAGCTGTGGGAGACGCATTCAGTGGAAGATCGTTGTGCTATATATATAAGTTCTATCCACGGGGGTTTGGTGCATCATGAAATGGTCATTGTAAAAATAAAGATTTTCGTTTGTTTTGAATACTCGACCTCCTATGACTTATGTGGCTAGGTTTAAACGATTTAGTGAGTGTTTCTTCTACTTTGTGTTTTTCATGTCGATGGTAGATATAGAGTTTGTTTGGTATCTCTTAAATAGGTGCACTTATTTGGGTTATATCACTTTTATTTTTTTGCACATTTTTTTTTATTATAAAAAGTTATACTTATTTAGATTATTCCAAACAATTCCTTCGAAACTTGTAAAATAAGCAACATTTACTATCTTATTCAAATAAAGGACCTTAATACTTCTCAACAAAATAATCTGAAATGAATATAAGAAAGATTGGGGATTCAAATTTTGGGAAAGAGATCAAGAAGCATGGTAAATATTTGGGAATACAATGACTTGGAGAATAAGTGAAACCAATTTTTTTTTTTTTCCATAACTTGGTATTCAGTCCACTAATCAATTTGGGGGATTATTCTCACCGTCCACTAGTTGGGGATATGTTTGAACTGTTGTGGAAAGTGATGCATTGATGATGTGTTGGTGAGAAAGAAAATATCAAATAATTCTTGAAATGAATCTATGATATTATGTGTATAGTATTTTGTAGTGAGAATTCGTTGGAGTAAAATATGATCTTAAATGAATGAAAATTTTATAATTGGGTTCATTTGTGTCAAATGATTGAATGTTTATAAAAATGTAGTAATTATGTATTTATTTTGGGAATAATTTTACTTTTTTTTTTAAAATTATGGACATTTTTTTTAAAAAATTTTGTTCTCATATTATTAATTTTATATCTATTTAAGTTTTTAATTTCAACCCATATTGTCCAATTCGAGATTCAACTAATATGAAATTCGAGACGGTTGCCAAAAACCAATAATTCCTTAAAGTTTAATTTGAAGATCATTTTAAAATTTAAATAAATTAAATCAAACAATAAAATACTCACTTCTTTTTATTTACTAGGGTGGAGAAAAATAGGGTACGTTTGATTTGAGCGTGGGAGATGAGTTTTAGAGATAAAAAGTACGAAAAGTTGTTTGGTTTTGTTTTTTTTAAAAGATGTTTTAAAAAATTATTTTAAGAAAGAGTTTTAGAAAAAGTGATTGATTTGATATGTATGAGAGAGATTTGTTTGGAAAACTTATAAACCAAACAAGTTTTGAGAAATTTTTTTAAGAAAATTTATTTAGTTTGATTACTTTTGAAAACTTATTTGTAAAAAATTTTTTCTAAAAATTTTTGAGAAACACAAATCAAACAAAGCCTAGTGTTTTAGTTGTAGGATAAAAGTTGTGGATAACTATACTTACACAGCAAATAACTTCATTACACCCATTTTCAAAAATTCAAACTTCTTATTACACTTTTCATAATACCAAAAATATCTCCATCCCTACCATTTTAATTTTTCTTTTACCTTCTTTTAACTTTTCAAATCCTAATTCTATATCCAATCCACCACCACCTCAAGCCACCACTGTGATTCAACCCCTCCCAGCATCGCGCAAACTCTCCTCTACGACCCAACCATCGCGCGAACACTCCATTGCAACCCAGCCACCATGCGAACACTCTACCGCAACCCATCCAGAGAGAGAGAGACTAGGGTTTAGATGAGGAGAAGCAGAAGAAGATGTGGTGGTGTATCTAGGTGACACGAGGGTGGAGGAATGGTGAAGGGAATAAGGAGAGAGAGGCTGGGGGTAGCAGCGATGGTCGGGAAATGGAAGAGGAGAGAAGGTGATGGTAGTCAGTGGAGTGGGAAAAGGTTGGCAATGGTGGTGGTTGGTGGTTAGCAATAGCTGACGGTGTTGGCCACGGTATGGAAATGAGAAGGGGGTAAAGAGAAAATTTGATCATGATTTTTAGGGTTTCTGTTCTAAAAGGTTATTTTTTTAAAGGTAAAATTATAAAAAAAAACTAAAAAATAATGAGGGTAATAAGGAAGTTTTATTTCCACACACAATTTTTACTTTGGATACATTTAATGAAAATATTTTTATTATAATTTTAACCTTGAACAAAATTTTCAATATAGACATTATATACACTCTATTTGAAATTCATATTTTCTCAGTACACATCTTTTAAAGAAAAAAAAAAAAAATCTCAATACACATTCATTAGAGAAAAAACACTATCTACTTCTATGTTACCTTAAAAATATTTTTTTTCTCACTCACTCCATTGTCATCTTCCAAAGGTTCTCATCTTTTCAATTCATTATCACCCTACTTTAGTTTACATTGTCACCTTCTAAAGGTGCTCATCTTTTCCAATCCATTATCAAACCCTCTCATTACCTCTGACTGAGTTTTCCACCTTCATCATCTAACAATCATTATTTAGGGGTGTGCTGGGAACAAAATAAAAAGTTGTCTTTTAACTTTTTATCTATTTTGAATCACATCACCTCTCATATTTTTTATTCATAAAAAAACAAAATAAGCTAAAAAAATAAAAAGTCAATTTTTTACTAACTTATCAAAACACCACTTAGTTGTTATGAAGATTTGTATGGCGGAAGTTCCGATTTTGAGAAGGATATTGTTGTTTATGACAAAAATATCAACGAAAATGTGAGTTTAAATATTAAAATTGTCCCTTTTTTTTATAGCATCATTTAGTAAACAAGGTCAAAAATTACTACATTTTTCGGCAACTAAGTTCCGAAGATTATTTTTTTTTGGGCAACCAAGTAAAGAAAATCATTTTTGTTTTTGTTTTTTTTGGCTGTCAAGTTCCGAATAATTTTTCCCCCGATCCCATAGTTCCGAACTCATGTTATAATTTTGATTTTAAATTTCTAAACCCGCATGTTATTATTGTTTTGAGCATTGTCAGCCTGTTTTAATTTTCTTTTCTTTTCTTTTCTATTGTTAGGTTTTCCATTGTTTGAGTCTTATCTATTGAAAATGGTGCAAAACATTTTGCCTTTGAGCTATATTACTCTACTCGCATATATTCTAGGTGATTTTTGCACCACATTCTAGGTGATTTATTTATTGAGTGCAATATCTTGTGAGATTTGAGTCGAAACATCTTTCGGAAAGAAATTCAAGTATCATATCTGGAAAGTAATTTCCCTATAAGAGCTCCAGCAAACCTAGTTTGTTCTTCTCGGCCCAGAGGGAGATGGATCAGTATGGAGGATGGATCCCAGTTCTAAGGCAGAGAAGCAGACAAGGAAGAGAGAAGAATGAAGGATGTGCAAGTGTCTTCACCATCTTTGTGGATAACATACCAATCTCAGTGAACCCGAAGGGACTCCACAATCTATTCACTAAGTTTGGTATGGTGAAGGATGTATTCATTCTGAATAAGCGAAGACGAATCACAAATACATGATTTGGTTTTGTTAGGTTTGATTGCAGAGTGGCGGCAAATGTTGCAGTGCAAAAAGGAAATGGACTCTGGGTGGATGATAAGGCAATAGTGCTAAAGCATGCCGCGTTTGGTAAGGAAATAAAAGGGGAAAAAAGGACTAACAGGGCTAGTGCGTCCTCAGGGAAGAAATCAAAATGGCCAATGAGGGGAAGACATAAGGTGGATCGATGTGTCTACAGATCGCAGGTCATATGCTAAGGCAGTAATAGGCAAAACGTGGGGTGGAAGAGATAACATCACAGTGAAGGCTGATGAAATAGGGAATGGGTGGTTGTATGAAAGTGTAGTGGTGCGCTTGAAGGAGAATTATGCTAACACTAACTTGAAGAAGGAAATTGAAGCAATAGGTGTGAAGGATGTGTTGGTAAGAGAAAGTGGAGGCCGAGATATGGTGTTCACTTTTAAGTCAGTGGAGGAGATGGCACTTAAATTGAAACCCATTAAGGAACTGATCATGGACTGGTGTGAGTTTATTTCTGAAGGGAAATCTAGTATGGTGTTGGAGCAGGAAAGGAATGTTTGGCTAAGTTGCTATGGGATTCCTTTGAATCTGTGGAATAGTATCAATGTAAAGAGGATTGGTGGGTTATGGGGGAAGTTTATATGTTTTGAGGGGGACATGGATCAACCAAGGTCCTTTGTGTGTGCTAAGATAAAGATTTCCACTAATTGATGGAACCAATTAATAAGGTAATTAACTTGGAGTGCAAAGGTATGATACATTCAGTGAGAGTTTGTGAAGAGCAAGTGGTGCTGGCTAAAATGACAAAAATGGTGTGCCAATGCCAGAAGAATCAAGAACTGGAAGAGCTGGGTAGTTCGAATGCTATAGACGAACATGGAATGGAAAAGGGTAATAGTGCAAAGGACAAGGATGGTGACTTGGAGTCTGACTCAAACCATGCTTTGGCATTTGTGATAACCCTGTTTCGTATTATGCTAATTGATCTTAAATATGATTGTGATTATGTGTTTAATATGATCTTGAGTGCCATTTATATGATTATATGTGTTTTTGAATTTCTATCTGTTCACCGTAGGAAAATCTGTTTGATTCTCTGCTTTGGAATTTAAATTGAAAGCTTTATTGGCCACAGAAACCGAAATTGACTACGCTATTATGATTGGCATAATTTTTAGAGCCTATGGTGAAATTTAATTGAAAATTTATTCGGATCAAAATAATTAGATTCAGAACGATTAATTACGCACCATTGATTAGCCTTAATCAAAATTTGATTAGGCCATCCTATATAAGGGCCTATATAGTTTTATATTATGGTTTTGAGCTCATTTTTGCTGAGATTACACTCTAGAGAGAGAGAGAGTGTGCTGGTTAGAGAGAGAGAGGGAGCCCAAGTTAGAGAATTGCTCAAGAAGCTTGAAGATCTTGGAGCTTAACTCAAGGATTAACTAGAATTTGGAAGACTTGAGCTCCTAGGTGAGTAAATGAGCATAAGTTCATTAGTTTGAGTTTGTAATTTTGTGAATTCAAGTTATAAGGTAATCAATAACAAGAATTGAGTTGAATTTGGTGAATCATAAGCATGCATGTAAGAGATAGCCATGAATTTGCATATTTGAGCATGAAATACATAATCTATGTTCTGTTTTGACTAAAGTTCATGCTTTTGATCATTTTTGATATCATCAAAGTTAAGGATGGAAATTATATTTCACATGCAAGCACAATTCATGAATGTATAAGCTTTAGTTGCATGAAATTGAAGTGTCGGAGATGGATTTGATATGAATCATGTATGCATGTAATTGATTCATGGGAATTG